GAATCTAAGACTACTTTCATTTCAAGAGAAGTACAAATTTCATGAAATTTTTTTTCCTTTTCAATCTCATTCTTCACCAACTTCAGATTTTGTTCTCCCTAACCTCTTTATTGAAAACTTTCATTCTTTAGATTCCACTTCTACTAATGATTTTGCATCTATTTTTACTGAATCTGACCATGTTCCACTTGCACCTATAACCAAAGAGAAGGGTTTGATTATCAAGAAACATTCAGCCCGGTTGCTAAACATACCACTGTTATGCTGTTTTTAGCACTAGCTACTCTTAAAGGATGGGTTTTGTCTCAACTTGATATCAATAATGCCTTTTTAAATGGGGATTTAGATGAAGAGGTCTATATGGATCTTCCTCAAGGTTACCATGTTCAAGGGGAGAATACTAGTGAATATGGTAAAGGGCAACTAGTATGTAGGTTGCAAAAATCTTTATATGGTCTCAAGCAAGCCTCAAGACTGTGAAATTTGAAATTTACTGAATGTTTGTTGAGAATGAATTTTAACCATCAAGGGCAGATTACTCTTTGTTTCCAAGGAATTCAGAAACTGGTTATTGCTTTGTTGTTTTATGTTGATAATGTGGCAATAACAAGCAATAATGAACAATTAGTTAAAGAATTTAAAGAGGAGTTGAGTTCTCATTTTAAATTGAAAGACCTTGGTGATTTAAAATACTTTTTAGGTTCGGAGGTTGCAAGAGCTAAGAGTGGAATTTCAGTATTTTCAAGAAAGTATACTTTCGAGTTGTTAGAGGAGTATGGGTAATTAGGAGCTAAACCTTGTAAAACTCCTGTAGAAGTTAATCACAGAATGACACACACTGAAGAAGGTTTATTGGCATATCCTAGTGAATACAGACAATTAGTTGGGAATTTATTGTATCTAACTATAACTAGGCCTGATGCAAGCTATGTTGTTCATGTCCTTACTCAATTTATAGACAAACCAGCTGGTGTTCATATGGAGGCAGCTCAGAAAATTCTTAAGTATTTGAAAGGTTCTCCTGGTCAAGGTGTCTTCCTTTCTGCAGAAGGAAATATTCAGTTGACAACTTTACACAGATAGTGATTGGGGAGGTTGCAATGAGTCAAGAAAGTCCTTAACTGGATTTTGTATTTTTCCAGGTAAATCATTAATCAGCTGGAAATCTAAGAAACAAAGTGTGGTTGCAAGAAGTACAGCTGAAGCTGAGTACAGGGCAATGGCTGTTACAACACGTGAAGTAATATTGATTCTTTATCTCTTGGAAGACTTTGCCATTAAACATGAGAAACTAGTCTTGCTATATTGTGACAACATATCTGATCTTCACAATACTAGAGTGAAGAAACCCGTATAATAAACTTTGATGGTATATATTGGGTTAACAAATTTAAACGCAAACTGTGATTAAAACCCTAACAAGTAATTGGTAGTCGAGAAAACTGTAATTTATGGCCATAATCTGGCTTAAAACAAATCAATTCATAAGCTAGCTAGTCAATAGAAGGCCCTAATGTCACGGGCCTAGAGTCTCGCGCAGCACTGCGCCCGTGCGGCGCCCCGGGAGCCCTCCCGCTTGACTCCGAGGCAAGCCTTGCCATACCATACCACAAACCACACTGGGTTTTGCCTGCCATGGGCTCATCAGGGAGAGGGCCAAGCTTCTCGACCAAGTTGTGCCCGTCAGGCATCAATACGGCCGGCCTGCAGAGGCTTTGCATGGGGTACGGGCACTAGGGTGAAACAAACGCTTAAATCGTAAGTCGTGCCAGGACCGCAGGTTGATAACGAAGCTAGGATACGGTCTTGCAATTGTTGCCTAACACTGGTCGACGGAATTGTCGTGACTCCTCCCCTAGGACTCCCCACTCAATTCAGGACGTCCTCGGTGCCGAGGGAGGTCCGACCTCACCCTTGGACGTCCTTTCTTTATGCCCACTTCGACCCACTTCTCTGGCTCTGCTACCAAGCTTGTCCGTAACAGCTCGGTGCCTGAGGTCTCGCCATTGCTTCGAACGCGAGTGCTAGACTGCGCCATATGTTCGACATCGAATGTGCACGATGCCTAACTGTGCCATTGCTTCGACATCGCCGGAGAGGGTGCCTAGGACTTTCCGCCATTGTTCGACAACACGAGAGACAGTATCACAGGGCGTAAACTTGACTTCTTCCCTGAGTGCGTGTTTTAGCGTGGACACCCAGAAAGTTGCGCAAGTCCCTGCTCTGAATACCAACCTTCTGTCACGGGCCTAAGAGTCCTCGCGGCAGCAATGCTCCAGTGCGGTCGCTCCGGACCTCCCGTTGACTCCGAGGCTAAGCCTTGCGATTCGTCCGAACCTGGTTTCGCCATGCATGGGACCTCATCCCCTGCCATGGGCTCATCAGGAGAGCGGCCTAGCTCTCGACCAGTTGTGCCCCGCGGCACAATACCCCACCTGCACGCAGGCTTTGCATGGGGTAAGGGCCACTAGGGTGGAACAACGCCTTAATCCGCTAAGCAGTCCCAACCCACGCAAGTTGAAATGCAGCTAGGTACGCTTTTCAATGCTGGCCTAACACGGTCACGAAATTTGTCCGTGACACTAAAGTAGTTGTCTATACAGCACATAAAAAAAATCAAATTTTTTACAGCTAAAAAGAAATATTTTCTTTTTCTAAAGCTAAAATCAAAAAGTCATAACTACCTTCCTTAATCAGGGTTATTATTAGCAAGGCAAACTAAAATATTTATGTGTAGATGCAAATAATGTATTAACCGAATATATGTACACATCTAAAAATTATATATAGTTTCGTTTTATTCAACCACAGTCATATTATAATTAATCACATTAATGACCTTCAATGTCATATAGAAAATTATCTTTTGATTGTAAATAAATTTAAACACACCAACCTTAACCTTCGTTATCGCAAACCATAAATGATTTGATTAAGCAAAAATAGTAATCTTAACTTTGGCTGTTGCAAACCATAAGTTATCCTTTCTTTTATCAAGCAAAGCGATAGAATAAAATCACAGCAATAGAACGAAATCGTGCTGATAACGTTTTATAAAATAATCGAAAAATATAGAGAAAAATAAAGAGAAAAGAGAGAATATAGAGGATACAAGAGTGTCATTCTTATCGATGAAAAGCCACATATATATAGGTGCATAAAGTGGAATTCTAATAGAAAAAATAGAGTCTTACTCAAATTAGAAAGATACAATTCTCACTAATTAGTAATAAAAAATTCTAGACCATATAAAATATCCACTAATTTCATAACATACCCTTTAATTTAAAACCCTTTTGTTATATAAATTGCCTCCTTTCTTGTCATTTTAAATTTAACAGCTAACTAAACAACTATTTTTATCGAACACTCTTACTTTAAACCGCTATATAAATAGCCAACAGCTAATATTTAACAACTAATAAAACAACTAACAGCTAAAACAATTAATATTGCCGAACAGATTCTAAGGGTATGTTTGGTATGATGTAATCAACCATGTAATAGAATGAGAATTATATTACATGGTTGATTACATTGTTTTGTTAGACTCTTTTTTAACCTTACAATATAATTGAGTTTACATGTATAATTTTCATTACTTAAATTGATATAATATTCATTCCATTAAAAAATCTATGTAAAGCCTATTACATTCCTCAAAGGCCACACCTATTCTCAACCACCACCACCACAACCACAACCACCATTTCACCACCACCACCACCACTCCTCCTCCACCACCAACACAATCACTCACCACCACTACTCCACCACCACCATCGCAATCATCACCACAATCGCCACTGCCACCACTGCAATCACCAGCACCACACTGCAACCACCAACATCACCAATCAACACCACCATCACCACCACCACTACCACCATAATCACCATCACCACCATCACTCTACTACTCCCATCACCACAACCATTGTTGTTACCACCACCACCAGTACTCCAATCACTGCAACCACCACTACATCATCACCACCACCACCACATCATTGTTAATTACTCCATCTGTCCCAAAATATAACTCATTTAAGATTGTTGCCCAAGGATTAAGGAAGCTATTAATTCTCCTAGATTATAACAAACTCAAGGGTAATTTGACCAAATTATCCTTTATCTCAAAATCAATAGTTATTTATGAAAGTATTTATTATAACTAATTTAAATAAGGGTAATATTGAAAATATATCATTTATTACTCCTTAAAATACTCAAAACGACTTATATTTTGGGACAAAATAATTACCCAAAAATGACATATTTTAGGATAGATGGAGCATCTTTTTATTGTTATAGGAATAGGAAGAATTGAATGGAAAATCACTAAAAAGATCAAAGTGCCATAATTTTATATAGTAATTTAATTTATTCAACAAAAAATATAAAATTGTATTAAAAAATTAATTTTCCATTGCTTTAACTTTTATTTTGTTACATTACATTTTTTTAAGCTTATTTTTTTTTAATTTTCTAGTCCAAATAGTTTATATGTCCAAATAGTTCTTAATAGCTTGATATAATGAATAACTTTTGATTTAAATATTTTTTTTATTAATAATAATGTAGTGATAGAGGTAGTGGTGATGGTGGTAGAGCAAGAGTTGTGGTGATGGTGGCGGCAGCAGCGACGATAGTGGTGGTGTGATTGATAATGGTTGTGTGCTAATTACATTACATATTTATAAACAAATATAAAAATTGAATAATGATTACATTTCATAAGTTTTCTCAATTACATTACTTAATGAAATCACAATTATATTTCATTACATTACATTTTTTATTACATTATATCTTTAATTACATTACATTACATCAAATCAAACATAACTTAAACATTAAAGTTGCACTTAGAATCGACTCATTTGCACCTAAGATAAGAATCACCTTCAATTTCATGGCATTATATAGCATTAAAAAAATAATAATTAAGTAATTATTACTCTTATTATTGTTTTGAATAAATTATTAACTAACACATATTCGGGAGAATTTATTTATTTATTTATTTTGATTCCAGGTGAGAATTCTGAAGCGGAGATAACACAATACGTTTGTTGTAAATTTCTTACATGAAAGTACAACAAAAATTTGCAAAATAGCTCTTGCAAGCCAAAATAAACTTTTTCTTCTTAATTCTTCTTTCTTTCAGGAAAAAGAAAAAGTATTAGCACCGCTCAGTAATTTTGTTTGTGTTTCTAAGTCTACAGTAGAGCTGCACGAGGACAGAAAATGATCAATCCATCCTGAACTCCAGAACCCAAGAAAATGATAAATTCCATTTACTTCAAGTCTATCTGTTGATCCTCTGCAAACATACAACTAAGTATCCACCTGCAAGATAGCTAACCATTCCCATTTCAGATTTAAACATTAGAAGGAAACAGAAGAAGAAATAACAAAAGCAATGAATTCCAAGCAATGAATTCCATTTATGCTCTGATAAAAAAATCTAGCTATATTTTGTTAGTGTAGGAGTAACGCCTGTCCTCCAAAATGTATTCCACCAAAAAATAAAAACAATAACACCATGTAAAACATTAAATCTATTTTTAGTACTAATGGATTCTGCAAAATCATAAGAAATTCATTTGAAATTTCATGTCTTTACACTTGGTGTTGTACCACATGAAAAACAAAAATAGATTAATGGGTTGAAGTTACTAAAATGGACGGCCAAAGTTTTAACCAGATAAGGTTAATGGAGGATTCAGTATCCAATGGCTCAACTCCAATGGTATAACCAAATATCCAATAAAAGCTCTAGTGGACGGAAAAGGATTCTTACTTCACATCTTCAACCTAAGCTTATTTTGTTCTACCTTGATAAGCTAAGATTAGGTATCAATGAAAATGTTCATTTCAGTCTTATAAATTCAATTTTATGGAAATATAGCTAAACCAAATTTTACTATTTACAAGTGAAATTACATATTTCATATTCATTTATACCATATAAAGATAAAGAGATTTCAAGTATTGAATGTAAACGAATTAAATCCTAATTAGTAAAAGATCATAGATATTTGTTGGGAACTTTCATCAATGAAAAGAGAGGAAGTGGGATATAAATCACCTATGATGAAACTACACGGCTAACGGGAGAGGTGTTTGGGATGCAAGTGTTTTGATGCCATGCCATGCAACTGAGACTGAGAGGTTCCCACATTAGTTTGGTCCTGGAAAAGAGCAAAACATGATGTAAGCAACTGATGGAGGCATTTACATAATCCCAAGCAACGACTTAAATACCATTTCTTGTAGGTTATCCTGAATGTCAAAACAACTAGGAATTGTCTGTGATCTGCAATGCAACTGCCCCTACAAGCATAGAGACATTATCATTTTGTAACCATGTCGTATCAGCTAAGAATTACAGTTATGATTTCGCTAGTAAAGTTAAGCACCAACATCTTTAAGTACAATGTCCTAGTTTACAGCAAATTAGCATACCATCCCTTGCATCCTTTGCTGAGTCATGTAATGAGATTCATGGATAGGTGCTATGGCATTCAGTTGTCCCTACAAGAGAAATCAACCAGGACTGAGGTGCTGTGCCTGAAGATGCATCAAATACAAATATCTACATACACTATTCAAATTGTAGTATGTATTACCAGCCTTTGCATGTTATGTTGATTGCTATAATAATCATCACGGCCAGAAGCTATGGAGCTTAACTGTCCCTAGAAGAAAAAAGAAAGTGTGATTAAATAGATAATTCTTTCATATGCCAATTAGATAAATTTTATATAGTATTGATTACACACATCTGATAAGAAACTCCACAATTTGTTGTTGAAAAGACTACATACCATTCCCTGCACAATTTGTTGAGGGCCAAAAAATCCATCTAGGTTCGAAGCCCTTGAGTTTAGCTGTTCCTGCAATGGACTGTCCATCAACTTTAAAGTTCAAGGAACAATCATCATTAAATAACAACAGAATAGTAGACAACAAGTAATAATGATCACTATAAGTTTACATCATACCATCCCTTGCATGCTCTCTTGCATTTCATACGAACAGTCACGTCCTGATTCTCGTAAACTTGAGTGTCCCTGAAACATGCAAAGAACACACTTCACCAAATTCTTCCCAGCATATCACAATCTGCATTTATTTAGATGTGAAATGGGGAGGCGTACGACATTACTAACCAATTGCTGCCAGCTTTCATGCATCCCAATTGTTATGACTTCTGGCTCTGAATGTACCTAAATGAAGACAAAGGCCTACTTATACAAACAACCATATATAACAATTTTCTCACAAAGCAATTACCACCAAAACCAGGCTGACCAGTCTCTTTCCTGAATTATCATCCTTTTGCTTTGTCTTGGATGCACCATTGGTTTGATCCACTTCTTCATAGTCAAGAGGTCTGTTGGAAGATGGCGAGGTTGGCACCATTAGACATTGAATTGAATTATTCACACTCTCACATTTTCTCAAAGCTTCTTCCAATGCAGTGAATGCGATGTTATAACTCTCTTGAGATAAAGAACCTTCGTCACCCAATTTGAATGCCCGTCTGCATAGATCATTGTAGCGGTCAACTCTGGATTCGATCTTATCTAGTTGTTCCCTCATCGTTTCTCTACTTTTAGCATTCTTTGTCCACCGTTTCAAAATATATTGAGAAGGAATACTATGCACACCAGACATTTGCATAACAATCAACACATGTCTACAAAGGAAACCATTGAACTCAAACAAATGGCAGGAGCAAGAAAAAGAAGATGTTTTGTCATTCCACACCACAATGAAATCTTGATTCTCTTCAAAATCTTGAACCTTGAAGGTTTTGGTTTCTCCATCTTCACTTTCTTTTCTAGGATGACAAGCAACTACTCCCAAAACCTCAACCTGGAATTTCTTAAATATTGCATGTGTGTACAAAGTAGCCATCTGTTTCCCAAAAGGTGATGGAGATTTCAGCCCTGGTTGTTTATGCCAAGTTTCAAAGTCCGCTTTTGCTTCCTCATCAAATTTCTCTTGGAGAATTGCTTTATGTTGTTCTAAGAACTCCTTCATTGTAGTCTTTCTTTGCATGTGTTTATCAAAAAGAGAGATTATACTTTCTGACCGTTGGGCTGTAGACATCCCTGCCAAAAATTTGTCTTTCAAGAACATAGGTATCCATCTTTGCCTATCTTCATACAATGACTGAAACCATAGGTCACTTCTTAAATTGAATCTCTCGACCATTTTCCACCATCGCTTATCAAACTGTTCATTGGTCCAAGACGTAAAGACACATTTGTTAAACTTAGTCATGAAAATTTCATGCTGCCTCATTACATAACTGAGTTTCTCAGGAACCTTGCTCATGATATGCCACAAGCAAAACCCATGATATGTGTCAGGAAAGACTTCTGCAATGGCTTCTTTCAGGGGTTTGTCTTGGTCCGTAAGAATCACTTTTGGAGCATGTCCTCCCATTGCTCTAAGCCATGCTCGCATCAGCCAAACATATGTTGCTTTAGTCTCATCAGCTACTAAAGCACGTCCTAGCAACAAACATTGGAAATGATGATTTACACCAATAAAGGGAGCAAATGGTAGTTTATAGTCATTCTTAATATATGTGGTGTCAAAAAAGATAACATCACAAAAATAGCCATAATCAACCCTAGATTTGGCATCAACCCAGAACATATTTCTCAAACGCTGTTCTTCATTCAGATCTACTGCATAGAAAAAGTTCGGATTCTCATTCTGCATACATGTAAAATAGTCAAGCATAACTTGAGCATCTCCCTCCTCTAAAGACAAATGCCGTATGCTGCCTGATTGAGTTGTCACATTAGTCTTCTGATTCTCATGCTTCTTGTATCCTCCTGATCGTCTAGACATTGAAACATACACTTTCTTGGTTCTTGCCCTTATAGCATGCAGTGCATCATCATTGTTGTTACCTAGATCTAAATTCCTATGACCACGAAAGTAATATGCCTGGTCCGGAGAAATTTCATGGTTGTGCTCCTTTATGAAGGAACGAATAACCCATCTCCCATCTTGCTGCCTTCGTTTTACATGCATACAAGCTTTACAATCTGTTTTTGCCCATGATCGATTTATTCTACCTCGTTTTCTTTTGACAGGAATGCTCGGAGTGTTATCTGCATCTATAGCAGGATGTGCCATTTCAGTACTCGTTTCTCGCCTAGTTCCATATCGAGTGCATACAAATTTAGCATCAATAAATTTTCCAGACATCCTTGATCTACGGCTTGCTTTAGTGATGGTGGCAAATCCAATAGACTTGGCATACTCTTTATAGAACGAAAATGCCTCCTCCTTTGATTCAAATTCCATTCCGTCATGGGGCTCTAAATTCTTTACAGCATTCAAGTTTATTCCATCTCCAGCATATACTTTGAGTGTAGTATCAAAAGGTCTTCCACTAACAGTTGGTCCACTGTCCTTATCATTCTCAGCAATGTTTTGGCAATCCACAATCACTCTGTTTCCATCATGCAATCCATTGCCACCATCCACCATATCAGCATTTACATTGGATCTGCTATCTTCTGTATGATATTCTCCTGAAGGCTTCTCAAGATCTATGCCCATGGAGAAGATTTAATTACTAAATAGAACTTACTGCACATATTCCTGAAAAAGTTCACAAATTGTCCACCAATTAAGGCGCAAATTTTAGTAAATTAAGCCCATCCAAATGGTTCAGCTTATTCCAATGCAATGTGAATACATCAAAAGCAGAAAATTGAAAACTAATGAAAACATTATTACTTCAATTTGCAAAGAAACGAGCACAGAAAATTCACCATTATATATTATTACAGGACAGCATCGAGTTAAATGGTATCAGCAGTAAAAAAATAACATACTGACAGAAGAAAACAAGTTGTCACGGGAGAAAAAACAACCAATAAAAAAATGTAAGAACACATGCACACAAAATAGTAATTGGTGATTCACGACATCTAACATGGTGATCATCCTCCCAAGCAAAGACACCGGACGGCATTAAGCCAGTCATCAATTAAGCTGAAAATATGACAGACCATAAACAAAAATCATGTATATTATTTTTCTTATGTCAAAGAATTCTACTTATGATAGACGGCTTGCTTACAGTTACATGTCTTGCAAACTGAAAATATTACCATCAAAAGGCCAAGAATCATTTTCTGAATTAATCCATTTAAACAGCAAGGTGAATTAAGTTTGAAGCATAGATCAAATGGAACAATTCAATGGCTGGCTCCACTGCCTTATCTCTTAAGTTAACCTTCCATCACAAATATGACTTATAATTTGCCAATTTTTGCATTTTTTTTGTCAACTGTGTATGGTACACAGATATGCCTAGGCTTTTTAAAATTTGAAGGCTAGTTTTACTTGTGCAGCTTACTTGAATCACATATAGCCATAATATATAATGGTGAATCTAAAAAGTCCACTGATAATTTATTACAGTGTTGAAAGAGTGTTTGAGGGCTCCAAGGTCAAGCCATTTTAAATAACAGCAAGTTCAAGAAGTACTCCGACATTGAATCAACAAAGTTGCAATAACTTTCTAGATCTAGGCATGCATGTGTCACAGAGTTTCTCAATTTTGAAATCTAGGACTAGACAGAACTATGCCTTCTCTGCATAAAAGGCCTTGACCCAGTTATAATTTAAACACATAAAAATAAAGCATGGCAAGTGCATATAGAATCTCACACCCATATCATATAATGCTTCAACAAGGATTCTCATGGATATAAGAATGGACTATCCCCCATTCTTGACCCATAAATTTGAGAAAAACTATCCTAAAACCTTAAAACCCTGCACCCCGATCTAACCCCACATACTGAGAAGGGGAAAAAAATTTTTTTAAAAAAAATGCATATATGCAGCAGAAAAGATACATGGAATATTAACTGACAGACTAAAGAAAACATTGAAACAATTTAAAAGAAGCTATTTTGCTCTTAATACGAACTTGAATATAGCAAACTTAAATATGAAACTAGGGCTACAAATTACAGTGGTAGGTCTCCAGGTAATCTTCATTATATATTTAAATTACAAAATGAAAGATTGCACCAGAACTGCGACCATTTTGGTTTATATTTTCCTCTACATAACTTTATTTGAAAATATTATCTCTATGGACGCTCCCCATAAATTTATTTGAACAAGTAGGAGGAAGGTTGTGTAGATCAACCCTCCCCAAAGTCCACACATGTGGGATGTTTCATGCACTGGATTGCCTTTTTATGCACCCACCACATAACCAGCAATCATAGTGAAAATTGAATCAGTATGAGGTAGCATGGCATCCAAAATCAATTGGGATAATCTTCAGTTATGGGAGTAAAGATAAATTGGTGGATAGGTAATACAAAACAATAAGACAGCAGTGAAGTGTCATGTAGTGAACAGAGAAAATGAAAAAGCAAAACTAAGAAATTTCCCACTTCATGAAATCAATTCAAATAACAAAACAGAATATAGGATAGAGCTCATTTAACAATTCTCACACAATGATCAAGCAAATAAGTGAGCTCAACCAAAAAGCAAAAAATAAAAAATAAAAAATAAGAAAAGCCAAATACTCACTTCACAACAAATTATTCAGTAAAACAAAAATGCATCTACCAATTAAAATGTGAAAATTTTAATACAAACAACAAACATAAGTAAGTGGGTTAAGAGCATGTGATCTTATACACTACTAACCAATAACTTAACAAAAGACAAACCCAGTGAAGAACAAAAACCGAAGAAACGTTGATCAGGAACAAAACTTTAAAACGAAACAAAATTTTAAAAATTGAGAGCCAAATTATATATGTGAACTAAGCTAATAAGACACAGAAATACAGTAAAATAAAAATTTAATTTGTTAAAACTAAACTGGAATTGGAATCAAAGTAGGAAGAGTGGATAAGAGATTATTACATGGACTGATGGTCAGCACCATAATTTGGTGGCGAGTAGAGAGATTTCTGATTTTGCGGGTTGATCGTTAGGGCAAAAGTATGCTGTACTCGCAATCTCTAATTGGGATACTCGCGTAAACTTGCTGCTGAATCTCAATTCGGGTCGGTGTAATCAAACGGATTGTGGCGATTCAAGTCAGATTACACGAACCGGAATAATTCGGTTTCATTGAGCAGGTCGGGTTAACCATCTTTTAAATTAAGCCCAAACCCGTCCTTGGCAGAAGGTCGGATACGGGTCTTGGTCAAATTTATTTTATTTCTTAAATAAATTGGACTGGGCCCGACTTAGGAGTAAATCACAGATCCAGCCAACTAATCAAATCAGGTTGTAATTTTAGGTTTAGTTTACATTTTTGTTTTTTTTTTTTTTTGTTCTTTAATAACCTTCAAAATAAACAAAAGTGATTGTTCAAAGTTGTTTAATATTCGTCTTTTTTTATTTTTAATTTATCATTTTAAAAATAAAAATAAATTTTATGAAACCATAAGTCTTAGTTGATAGAATTTTGGTTTATATTGTTGTTAATGTCAGCCCATTATTAAGGTCCATGTATGTAAGTCCAAGCCACAGCAGTCTAGAGAAGAAGTAAAAAAGAAGACATCACTGAGAGAAATTATTTGGGGGCCTAGGACCCAATTGTGTAAGAGACATCTTAATAAATGTGGGAAATAAAATTTTAAAACAAATAAAACGTTAGAAAAATTTAGAAATAAAGAGAATGTTATTCTTGGTCAAATATAAATTAATAATTCTCAATCTGACCTTAACTGGTATATACACTGATCTACTAGAAAAATTGATTTTAGAGAATAAACTTTGAAATATACATCAGAAAAAATATACACTATTAGGCATTTTATAATGAAAAAAATCTTAGTGTATGATTTATAGGAATATTGTAGCATGCATACATATATATATATATATATATAAATAATATATTAAGTTTTGTAAATGAATGTTAAAATTTAATAGATGTATATATATATATATATATATATAACAAGTTTCTGTAAATGAATGTTAAAATTTCATAGATGTAACGCTTTGGAAATCCTAAATTCTAAATAGTAGCTTACTGGATTGTGAATAGTACCACCCGAGAGGGAGATGATATTTTATTCAATCCAAAAATTCATAATTAATATTTATAAAGTTGATTTAGACTTAGTATGTGTGTTTCAAATAGTAAAACTGGAGTATAATTTTTATGTTAGAATTTAAGCTATAGGTAAATGGTGTTTTGGGGTTTTATTAGAAATTAGAAAATATAAAAATTGATTTTATTGAATGAGTTTAAGAGTTTTGTGGAGTTAATTATGATTTATGGAAGTTTTTAGTAGAAAGAATTGTGGCTTTTGGACAAAAGAAATATGGCTTAATCTTAACTTTTGGTGAGACAACATAGTAGATAATTGTAAACACCTAAACTCTACACTTGGAGAATCCAAGCCAGACTTAGAAAATCCTTCAAATCGAATCTGAATCGAGCAAATAAAAGTTAATTTAAAAGATATGGATAATTTGCATTGATTTGGATATAACTCCTTATCCAAGTCGAGTTTCCTCGATAAATTAAATACAATGGGAAAATAGACATTTAGAGCTTTTCAATGGTACCTTACGGGCTAGAATTGAAGTTAAATGGACCTTGAAGGGGTCAAATCAGGAAAAAATTAGCTGAACCAAATCAAATCAGCCAGAACCCAGCCAGCCGCCTTGGCTGGCCACTGATCACTGGCCAAATGCCTTCGACCAGTTGTCAACGGTGGCCAACCGCTAACCAGTGGCTGGAACTGCCCATGGCCAATGTCTAGAATTTTTAATCCCACATCGGTTTTTGTGCCAAACCCCAAGACCGTTTTTCCATAAACAATGACTTATTTTTAGCTCCATTCCAAGAGATAAGCAGGCATGCTTAACTCTCTAAAAAATCGAGCTAAGGACCCAAATCCACCAAACCCCTCCTTCACTTTGTTCTTTTGTTATAATTCTATTAGGAGATGTGTGATTGCTTTAGAATCCCCATCAAGGGCTAGAGGAGATACTTCCTTATTTTATACTTAGCTTTTAATTATTTTTTATTTTCTTTACTACTTTATTTTATCCCTTTCTATATTAATGCCATTCTTTTGTTCATCTAAATTCTTTTTTTTTTTTACATTTGAGATTGAACATTAAACTTTAACCAATTAATTGAACACTTAAATTGAAAAATTTTATCTTCAAATCCTCCTTGGTTTCGTTGATTAGTACACTTTTTCTAAAACTGGAGTCAAATAGAGGTTTTTTTAAGTTCACCTAAATAATGAAATTTAAATGGCGACGCTACAAAACTCTTTCGTGAACTTCACCCAAATGAGCATTTTGATCCATTTTAACGGATTAGACATAGCACTCAGGTTGGGACCTTATAGCTAGAGACTCCATTAGGGAGTAAAATAATTTTTATAAAGTGGACTAATAATTGGTTTAGAAAATAAAACAAACTTTATTTACCAACGTTCACTTAATTGGCCTTCTTTTAATGTTCAATATTTCATGGATTACGACATTTACATTTATCCTTCAGTACAATTAAGATAAACTTTATGGGTTCCCAGTAGTGTCATATCAATAAGTCTCCTTGAGACTATTAAGAGGTTGCGAAGGTTTCTAACCCGTGATTAATTCTCAGATCCTTTCTGAGATGTACCAAGTATGCAATATTATTGGACCCAAGTATAGTTTCTTATTTCACATATTGTTAAGTATATTGCTGGTATAGTGTGATGAGACCCTATTGATCCAATGGCGACAAAATGGCACTTTCATTTGAGCACCGTTTCATGTATAGCTTCTTTTCTTGCTAGACCCCGAACACTGTACTCAAGCCTCCAATTAACCAAGCCACCTAAACCCATTTCATGTAATGGTATTAGAATTATGGCCTTAAGTTGTACGTATCCTAATAATTAAATATCTACGTGAATTTCATGCAAATGATTTTCCTCACACATACTACATGCATATCACACATACACCTTATGGACCAATAATTAAGGTGCCATTTACCATGTGTCCTACATTTGCGCCCTAGGATTTTAGGTCTCTACCTCGTGATCTTTTAACTCTAACCTAGTGTTTCCTACCCTTGTTTTGAAGGAAAACATGTTTGGAGAACTTAGGAATGAACAATTGGATACCCTACAAAGACAGTTTGAAACTGCTATGAAGAAACAAGAAGATAGTTTCAAGAGTAGAGAGCCATTCTAGATGATGTCTCCAATGTCATGTTGCAAGCGCTAAAACTTGACAAGTGAAAATTAGACCATGATGATATGGTTCCACCTGAGTCTAGCCAATTCAACTCGGCTCAAAAGGCTAATGGAAAATCCTCTCTGTCATATGAATCAAATTTTTAGGTGAAGAGAATGTTAGGAAGATGATGGAGAAGATGGATGCCATAAAAAGAACCTTCATAGCTATCAAAATTAATAAGTAGGTAATTAATATGGACTCCCTAGCTCTGTATCTTGCCTCCTAAGTTTAAGATGTCTACCACAAACAAGTTTGATGGCACTACTTGTTCCAAAATGCACCTAAAGATGTATGTAGGTGCCCTAAGTCCCTTGGGTGTAAGCAATGGACTCCTTGCTCAATTATTTCAACTATCCTTAATTGTTGTTGTATTGAGATGGTTTATGTGTTTGGACAAATCCCACAAGAAGAGCTGGGAGGATTTTTGTTAACGCTTTCAAGAACTAGTATCATTACAACATCAAGATCGACATTTCATTAAGGGACTTGGAGACTAATAAGCAAGACTCAAAAGAGCCCTTCTTTGCATCCAATACAAGGTGGAGGGCTAAAGTTGCTCAAATGGTAAACAGATCGAATGAGCAAGAGCAGAAGGATATGGTGATGAAGAACCTGTTACCGATCTACTAAAGTCATCTGCAAACCCAATACTTACCTAGTTTCGAAGCAATGATCTCCACAACTACTAAGGTTAAGGACTTAATCCAATTTGGTTCGAATAATAATGAATTGATTGGTTCAAGGTACCAAAGAGGTCTAATTTTGTTCCAACTCCACCATTTAGAAGGCTGGTGAGTTTCTCATATCACTGGTCAGGCCCCAGTCAAGATCGATAAAAGATGTTTCTCCACTAGTGACTGAGGTTCCTAATTTCGAGGTCCCTATCACTCTCATTTACAAAAAGGCACTTAAAGAGAAGTTGATTCAATCACTAGAGCTAAGAGACTTATCTCAGACAAAGGGATATAAGTCTTCAGAGTATTATGATTATCAACAATTGATAGGACATCAGACTAAGTCTTGTTGGAGTTTGAAGTGTAGTATCCAGGACTTAATGGATCAAAAGGCTACCCTGCTTCTAAAGCAGACCTCCAATATCACAAGCAATTATCTACCGAAACACCACATCAACTCTAGCTCCAATATCTCTCAAATGACACTCAAATTGCATAACACTGGAATGAAGTTTCTCTCTTCAAGAACTTGGATTTAGAGTCCACTTGTTCAATTCTAATGAAAAATGGCTAAAAAATAAAGAGAGAGGGGAGGAAAGGTGGTATCATCGATCAGGAATAAGGGGAAAAGGAAAATAGACTTTCTCTCTCCTCGTGTGATAGGTTACAGACAAGCTGGTTCATTTCACGTTTTGGTTCACTCGATTTAGTTTTTAGCAATTTTCTCTTAGTTTCCAATGGTTAAAATCTAGTTTTCTAGGTTTTTAATTTAGTCTTTAGTTCAAGTTAACAAGTAATAATCATAAATAATAATTTAAATTGTCTAATTAAATTTTTAAATAAAAAATCTTTTGAAAAAGGAAATTAAGTTATTTTATTAAGAATGCTAGCGAATATTGTCACAAAGATTAACACCATGGATCGACCATGGAGAGCCGAAATTGGACCTATAGGAAAGGCGCGATCATGTTATAGAAGAATTGCTAAGAAAATATATAACAATGGCATAAAGAATATTAGAGAGGCTAAAGAAATGAAGAGAGAAGGAAAGAGACAAAGGAAATTGCCATGAAATTTTCTCTCCAATCCCTGAGAAAGTGGAGCCTCTCTTTACCAAATTAATAA